ACTTCTGCCCCAGCTTGGCAGGGTGGCTTTCTTAATTGACCTCTGTGTAAAGACCAACTTCCCGAGATGTCAGAGGGGCTTATGTTGTTCCAATCACAAAGGATGGGGGCAGAGGGGGGGTATCCTTAAGTCTTTAGGAAGAAGCCTGCCTTTCTTTACAGAAGCCACAAAATGTTTTCTTTAAGGAAATAATGCATTTCCCCAGACAAATGAAACTGCATTTCCCTCAGTCAGCATGCAGGATATTAGGAGATATCACATTTTAACTGCAAAGTGTGTTTATAAAACTCTAAAGTAGAGTTAACAAATACCATTTGTTGTATCTGTAAGTGACATCTGATCTCTCATGTCCTCCTAAATATAAGAGAACATCTGAGCAGGAAGTGTGCGCTAAAAGCACTCAGAGAATCAAGGAAGTTTGCTTTGGAAGATTTATGTCTCCCTAAAGACTAAAGATTTGGGAACAGGAGGCAACTCATAAGAGCCCCAAATCTGTATCAATAAGAGCTTGATTTTTGTTGGGGGAGGGGGGGTCTCCTCATATCTCTGTCCCTTTAGCTCGTACTCCCAACAATAGGGGCTTAATTATAGAGTTGACTATAATTTACCCTTAATAGGGCAATTCATCTGGGTATGGATCTTTAAACAGCAGAACACTACAGATTAGGTTATGCAAGATTCTTTGGTGTAATGCTGTTGCATCGTACAGAAAAATAAGCAAGTTGTCAGTTGGCATCGTTACTGCTCTTTAATCTTGCATGATTTTACAGGTAATGTAATCACCTTTTTCTGGAGAGGGCCTAATTAAATTAGACGGGGGGAATAAGAGGAAGAACATTTCTTCTGTCTCTGGATTAAAATCCCCTAAGAGTTTAGTTAAACTAACCAAACAGACTTTACTTCTTGTAACTGGAAGGTATTTTCGATTTAATCCGGCCTTGTAATCATTTTCTCAAGAATAATAAGCCATTGACTGTCACAGTGATTGGGTGAAATGAGACACTGAACCACCTTCTTAAACGTCTTAAATTTACAGTGCTAATCTAAGAACACATGTATTCAACATCTGCATGACAAAACTTCCTTTAGAATGGTTAAAATATCCTAAAAATAAGGTTTTAAGGATGGCCATGACCTCATTCTGATACATTTATGGTAGGGGTCAGCAACCCGCGGCTCTTTAGCGTCAATCAACTCCACTCAACAGAAACACGTCCGCCATAGAAAGATTCCTTTATCGTGTTTCTATCATTTTCATCAATGCAACAAAACCTACGGTGAATTCCCTGGAGTGAGAGTATTCACTGTTTCTCCCTACTGTGTGACATTTGCTCCAGGATAAACATTTAATCAAGTATGCTTTTTATATATGTAAGCACACGTAGTCCTTTTTTATAGTGGGCTAATACACTTCGAGCCCATGTTGCCATACGGCGCTTATATAGCAATACATTTTTGCGGCTCCAGACAGATTTTTGTTGTCGTTTTTTTGGTCCAATATGACCCTTTGAACAGTTTGGGGTGCCGCCCCCTGGTTTATGGGGTTTAAAACCTGCTGAGTGTTGCCAACATATCCAATTTGAAATAGCCGGCCAAAATGACAAAGCTTGTTGTGTCGTAGCTGCTTGCTAAGAAACATCTATCTGTATCTAAGCAGGGTACGTGCATATCTATATGCAGAACAGAGCTACACATTTGATAAAATGCATCAATATGTGCAAACAATATATCTGCAAAGTAGAAAGACTTTCTATGGACCTAATCCGCAAAAACTAAGTGTAAATTTCAGTTGGTTGGAAAAAGTTAAAGGATTTATGGGACTGAAAGCATTAGGATATTTGCAATCGGTATCATTACTTTAGTTTCCAGCCAATACAATATATTTATTTCCTTAACCTTCATCACTATCACCCCTATAAAGGGGCTGCTGACTTGCAAAGCCAAAGTTAATATTGCATTCATGTATTTCCAAACCTCTGAATGGCACAATTAGTTCTATAGGCAGAACTATATAACTACTCTTTAATGTGGCCCATGAGTCGGCAAATCACCATTTTATGTCACAAAGTTCCAAACTTCAAATTATTAAGATTCAACACCAATTTCAAATTTATTTTCAAGTATGTTTTTCTATTGGAGCTGCAATGTTGGGATTTTCTTGGATAATAAGCAACTTTGATTAGCCCCACTCCTGCCCACTCACATTGTAAACTTTTTATAGGCTCAGGTTCCCTAATGTAGGTTTTACACGTATTTCAAAATCATAAGGCAGCGGTGTAGAGAGGGAAAACATAGAATATCTTTCTTTTATCACAGCCTACTTCGAAACCATGAGTCAGAAAATGCATTTCCAAGTTTTCATGATGTAATAATGAAAAGACCCTGGCTGTAAAGAGATGATGGCCTTCCTCATACCTTGAACTAGAATTCATTTTTATTCATAAACACATGTTAGATCATATGACTGATAAAATGACTTTCCAAAATAATAATCCCAAACAGTTCCTGTTCTGATAGCCGTGCACACTCCATACCCTCCAGAGACAAATATCTACCCACACACCCTTGACTTCCAGCACTAGTCCCCAAGTAAACATCAAAAGCGTGTTATGCAGCGAGATTAGATGACTAATGATCAGGCTTTATTGAGTCTATTGTTGAGCTCTGACTGACTGCTGATCAGTGCAGCTCAGTCCAGGGAGCGCTTTGTGCTGCACACGATGCAGCACTCAAACGCAAGCAAACACACCCCTGCACACAATCATGTATGAAGAACTGAGGCGGAGATACACCATACCTGCCACTCCTTGCTGCAGTTCTCACCACCTGAACATTTAGTGACGACAGTACAGCTGGAGGTAGTTAAGAAATCAGTAATCAGTCTTATTCACAGTATCTGTTGCGTCATTGAAAAGTCCACCCTTCCCTCCTTCCTGCAAACACTCATTTGGCTCACAGCGTTGTATTACATTAAAGTCAGGTTATGTGAAAGAAGTTCCCAGAATGTACAACTGGTTTTATTAGCTACCAGTAGTTGTTCCTTGCTTTTATAAAGGAAGTTGGCAAATTGTGCAAGCTTTTGTAATCTTTCCAGCCCCCATGCATGAATGAGTCATTCCTTTTTGGAAAAAGGTTAAGATTGTTTGATATAGGAGAACATTCTTACAAAAAATTTTACGTACCGGTATCTTATTTCTTTCTAGGGTACTTCAGCAGTATGAGGAAGTCATTTAAAGGACTTAGGCTATCAGGTCATTCACCACCTGCAACTCAGTTATGCAACCAACAACTGGACAAGCTGAGTGTTTACTGTGGCTATACGCCTGAAACCTTGAGCTATAAACTATTTTCTTTTGCTTCTCTTTCCTCCTTCCTGGTTAAAGACTCAGAGTTTAAGCCTCAATATGGGGTGTTGTACACCTTAAGTCACCTGTTGTCTCTTTAATCTCCCTGTAGCTGTCACACACACACACACA